CTCTGGCCAATTTACTGAACAGGGGACACAGCTCAGAGCACGGCAGGGAAGGGATCTGCCCTGGCTCTGTGCTACACAGGCAGCATCACTGCAGTGATGCAGAAACGGGCTCTGGGTCTTTGGGGGATGTTAGGGCTCACAGCAAAGGTTACAACTGGCCACTTTCCTGTTTGTTTAACTCCAGCAACTTCCTTATACAAAATCCTATTTACTTGGCTGCTCTCTGTGGCAGGAAGAGTAAATATTAGCTTAATGTAGAGAATCTAAAAGTAACACTCAACGTAAAAAAAAAAAAATGTAGCAGCAGAGGAGGCAATAAAATGTGCCTTTAAATCAGATTAAGTGTTTTAATTTGATTATTAATAATTTTTGCTTATTATGTGATGCCATCCAGAAGTCCTAAGAAGGAATACTGCTGGTATTTGACATTAAACAATCCTCCCACGTGAGAGAGACAAAATATGGGGTGAAAGCATTAATAGCATGTTGATTTTACATATGCTTGCTTGTTCTTTGCAGAAACCCAGTCAGACTGTATATACACAGTGTGTCCTGCCCCACCACGGCCTGCTCCGCACATCGGTGTTTACGTACACCACCAGCCGCAGCGGCCTCACCTCGAGCACTGGGTGCAGGCTGGGGCATAATAACAAAAGAAGGATGTAAAACTGTTAGAGAGCATCCAGAGGGCTACAAGGCTGCGGGAGGGTCTGGAGGGCAAGAGGTGTGAGGAACACTGAGGTCCCTGGGTTTGCTCAGCCCTTAGGAGCTGAGGGGGAGCCTCATGGCGGCTGCAGCTCCTCCCAGGGAGCTCTCCTTGAAAGAGCCACTTATCTTCAGTGACTGGGGCAAAAAGAAGAGATCAGGGCTCAGGGTTGGGTTTTTTTTAAGTCAAGTCAAACAGATGACCCATAAAACAGGGAGACTGGTTTCCAAAGCATTGCCAAACGCCATTACGTTTCTCTTTTGTGAGATAACAGTTTTTATTCTGCTTCAGGCTACTACTGAGCTTACTACAGACTAATAGTTTATGGCAGTGGATTAGGGAGAAAAGATTTCTTCAAGATACAGAACAGAAAAACTAAGATGTGGGAAAAAATGAAGTGACAAGTTAGTTTCTCACTGGAAAGTTAGCTGGGGTAATTAGCTGTGATGTAACAAAATGAAACCGCTGCTAGAAATGACAAAGCAGGCCTCAACAAAAAGTAAAGAAATAACAAATTTTTCTTTATTTTGAGATTCAATGAGTTAAACACAGTTACTGAACAACCAGATGAAAACGTCAGTATCTTCAGTGGATTTGTATGCACTTAAGCCACCTCCAGGAGTTTGATCTATTTCTCACTATCCTACAGAAGCAGAGGAGTTGGTTCAGCAGTGCTCAGAATCAGCATGACTGCTGCCCATCTTAAACAATAGGGAAAAAACAGTGCTTTTAATTTAGAAGAAATGCCAGATTCACTGTCATTCAAACCCACATTGGTAAACCAATTTTTAAAGCCTTTTTTTTTTTTCCTTTTTATTCAGAAACCTGCCATTTTTACATTTTATACTCTTCATTCCAGGAATATCTGCCAATCATTCTGATCTTGCCAGCTCTCCTTTATTAATTAATTCACTACTGGAATAGTCTACTACTACTTAACAGACTTCTATGCCCAAATAATTACCCTGAAAAATAAATACTTTTAACTGTTTCAACTGCAATCAAAAATTCATGTGCTCTGGCTACCAATTGTGGGTCTCTACTGCGAAGTCCTTCTTAATGAAATATTTCCAGGTATTTGCATTTTATAACAATCACAAGAACACAAGAATGCTACACAGAGGCTTCCAAGCCCAATATCCCATGCCTTTTACCCCTTGACACAGTTCCAGCACGAAAAGTCCCCCCACTTTCCTGCATCAAACACTTGCAATTGAAGCAGCCTCTCACAAGATCTCCTTTAGCCTACACCTCATCTCAATCTGACTATAACATGCTGATGAGTTCAGTGCAAAGAAAAGCAACTGTCACTTTGTGCATTCAAAATCACGTCTGTAACTCACCTGTTAAGTAATAATCATTACTACATGGACAACAGTAAGGAAGCAAAATCTGGATTCAGTGCATTCTTGAGACAGAGGTGGTTCAAAGCCATAGGACAGCCTTGGCCGTGGAAATGAAAGTGGTGACACTTTTGAGTAGCAGATAAATGCTTATGAAAACAAAAAAAATGAGAGAACATTAAGGAACCTTCTTCTCAAGCAATGAGGATGATGTTGAAGGAGAAGGATGACCTGTAGCCTAGTTCCACTTCTTAGCAGCACTCTCATTTTATCTAATGCCTTCTAAAATTGAATATTTTGACATTAAAATACAAACTATAAGAAGATTCCTGGTTCTAAAGTATCAGCTGAATGCAAAGGAATATCCTCCAGAGCTGCATTATCCATGTGCACATGGTTGTGTCAAGTAGGAAGACCTAATGACAGAGGTCAGTCAAAGCACAAGGAGGTCGGGTGAACAACTGTATTTATATAATGACTCTGAAATTACTAACTATTCATTTTACAGGACATCATCATCATTCTTCCTGATGGAAAAGCCAACAGAGAGAAATGTTCCAAACCTAGCTTGGAGTTTTTCTTTTTTTTTAATTAGGTTCCCACGGCTCTGATGCTCACTTTGTAAAATAGAAGTTCACTTCTGATCCACATAGATCAAAATAACTAAGGTCCCCCTAAGAAGAAAAACACAGAATTTCTTAACACATAGAACAATATTTAAGCAGCACAGAGTAAGCAGATTCACACATGGGAACAGCTGAAGTCTAAATATATATGCTTCATTTGAAAATGCTGCTTTTAAAGGAGTTCAGTGGTTTCACAGACTAAAGGGGTATCATGGGGAGTGTAAAGCACTCTAGGGATTTCAGATGGAATCCCACTGTGGTTTATCAAGTGGGGAATCATAACCTTAAAAGAAAAGAATTTCTAGGCCTTGACTTGCTGAGCAATGAGGTAGCTCTTCGGACGAAGTACTTCATGGTGGAAGAAAAAAAATCTACACAGAGAACTCCAAGTAGTACTGCAAGATTACTGCAAAGCCAAGGCAGGGTTGCAGCTAGATGAGAGCTCCATGTTTTCTGATAGCACCTTAGAAATAAGAATGAGGTGTTCTAAAGGATACCTTTATCTATTACTAACGCTACCACATTGTAAAGGATAGTAGTATATATACGAGTATGTAAAGTATAGTAATTCAGAAGAAAATTTTTGGAAACAGATTTTAGATGTTTCTCTCATTCTAAAACAAATGTAGCACTAGTCTGATATTTTAGTACTTTTCTATTGGAATGTATGTTTTCATCTGACTGTGGTTCAGTTCTACAGGAATATATTTGGAAATGTTGTTATACTGAAGGAATCAACTTTAGGCTTAATAAATAAAGTTTGAAATATTATACATATTTTATATAAAGGCTGCAATTAATTACATAAATCAGATTGGAAGAGATAGTATTGCTGGAGATGTTGTCCCATCCTGTTTCCTGGTTTGTTTCTCCCAGCGAGAAGACAGTGACTACAGCACACTGCCCTGACACAGAACCAAAACAACCAAACATCCAAAACAACTTGTTAAATGTATTTTGGGAAAGGTGTTTTACATATGACCTACAACCACATGTATTCTAAGCAAACATTGTCTCAGCCTGTGACTAATCAGTATACTGGGAGAGAGGTACACCAGAGGATGGCTACTGGACATACACCCTGTCCCTTTCTCCTGTTTTGCGCGACCTCTCCCCTTCTTCAGCAGTCTATGCTTGGGACGTACTCCACAGATGTTAGAACAACCACTTCCATCCCTTGTCACATTGCTTTTCACACTGTTTGCTATGTTTTCATCTACGTGACAGCTATCACAATTTCAGGGTAGCATAGAATCACAGAATCATAGAATGCTCTCTGCTGAAAAGGACCTCTAAAAAGATCATCTAGTATCTGCAGAAGAAAAATATCTTCTCATTAAGGGCTCTTCTCTTCCTGTTGAACTCCCTTTCCTTACAGTTCCTTGGAGTCTGTCTTGGGACCGGTGCTCTGTAACATCTTTATCAGTGACATTGATGATGGAATTGAGTGCACCCTCAGCAAGTTTGCTGACGACACCAAGCTGAGTGGTGCAGTTGACATGGTGGAAGCCATTCCGAGGAAGGGCCATTCAGGAAGCCATTCATTCTGTGATGGATGCCATTCAGAGGGACCTCGAGAAGCTAGAAAGGTGGGCCTGGATGAACCTGATGAGGTTCAACACAGCAAACTCCAGAGTTCTGCACTTGATTTGGAGGAATCCCAGGCATCCACACAGACTGGAAGGAGCGGTCCTTGAAAGCAGCCCTATGGAGAAGGACCTGGGGGTCTTGATAGATGAAAAACTTAACATGAGGCAGCAGTGTGCCCTTGTGGCTCAGAAGGCAAATGGTATCTTGGGATCCATTAAAAGAGGGGTGGCCAGCAGGGAGAGGGAGGTGATTGTCCCCCTCTACTCTGCTCTTGTGAAGCCCCATACGGTGTCCAGGTCTGGAGCCCGCAGTACGAGAAAGACAGGGAACTGTTGGAGAGGGTCCAGAGGAGCCACAAAGATGATCAGGGGGCTGGAGCATCTCCCCTGTGAAGACAGGCTGAGGGAGCTGGGTTTGTTCAGCCTGGAAAAAAGAAGGCTGTGGAGTGACCTCATTGCAGTTTTTCAGTACCTAAAGGGAGCCTACAAACAGAAGGGGAATCAGCTCTTTGAAAGGGTTGATAACTGCAGGACAAGAGAACATGGTTTGAAGTTGAGGGAGGGAGGATTTAGGTTGGATATCAGGAGGAAGTTCTTTGCTATGAGAGTGGTGAGGTGCTGGAACAGCTGCCCAGAGAGGCTGTGGATGCCCCGTCCATCCCTGGAGGTGTTCAAGGCCAGGTTGGGCCAGGTTGGATACCAGGCAGCCTGGGCTGGTATGAAATGTGGAGGTTGGTGGCCCTGCCTGTGGCAGGGGGGTTGGAAATTCGTGATCCTTGAGGTCCCTTCCAACCCGGGCCATTCTGTGATTCTGTAAGTTCTTCAGTAGGCTAAGTCATTTCCAGTCCAATAAGGTAAAGAGAGTCAACCTCCTGCTCCATATATTAGAATTCATCCTGGCAGGTTCTGCTCATATGACTCTTCATTTTTAAAAAAGGCTGCTCTGAAATTAAATATTTGTTATATATATATATATATTGTATATGTATATATATATATGTATATTAATATATATATTAAATAATATATATTATATATAAATAATATATTATATATTATATATTATATATTATATATTATATATTATATATTATATATTATATATATATTATATATTAAATAATTGTGCAGAAGTGAACATTGTCTCCAAGTGAAATACTATGCTCTAAATGCTGAGCAACAGACAGTGGCCCTCAGTGGTGGAATTTCTGGAGAGAGGAGGAAATAGGAAGGCATGGTGTCTCAGATCTGCTGCATGCCCACAGTAAGCAAACAGTTGCAGCAGTGAGCCCACGGCTGAATGGTGGCCTGGGGTCTAAAGGCTTTGGGATACATTCCTCCTTAAGTCCTCTGCTTATTCCCTCAGCCTCAGAGAGTGGGAGGGTCTTTGTGAAGGGGACATCATTATGGGTGCAATGTCTGAATGTTGACTTCGGTCTCACATATTCTATATGGTGAGAATGACCAACATGGATCACAGCTTAATTGTCAATTCATGTTATTTGGAAAAGAATAACATTGTTCAATTAATGCCTCTGCACAGAGTAGTACATTCATCTATGATGTATGCAGAAAATATACCTATGAAAAACAGTCTAATGAACTAGGCTAACTTCACAGTGGATTTCATCTGCCTTTGTTATTATCATTAATTATAATTTTCAGTGGAAATGTGGGGTTTTTTTGTAATGTTTTACATTTTATTTTTAATGAAAAACATTAATGAAAAACATAAATAGTGTATCCTTTAATGATGAACACGCTAATTCCACTAATGCTGAGTAGCATGTGCTGAAATGATGCATTATCTTAAAATATAATTTTACTAGCTCTGCTATGTAATTTGTTAAGCATTTAGTAATAAGTATGTCTAATAAAATATGAAAAAATATTTAGAAAATGAACCATAATTTTAATATAATTTTAATTAATGGGAGTGCAATTGCAGTGGTTTAAATTACATTCCCAGTGGTAAAAAGCCTTTCAAACCTAATTTGTAAGCCAAGATGGTGGCTTTAATGACTGGCAGCAAAGTTTCTTCAACAGATTTCATGGGGCATGATCCAAAGATAATAGGTTTTCAGCCCAATGACAATCCAATTACAATGCCAATCAAAGCCAACTTCATGCACTCTAATTATCAGATTTAGCTGTCAGTTCAAATACAAACATAACACTTTTATTTAAATAAAAATTTAATTTAGAAAAAAAGAAGACTTCATGTGTGATTTATTGAGACTGCAAGAGCAATCTAACTTATTTCTCTAGTAATATAATAAAATCAGTCTTGTATTAAAAATGTGAAAACTTTTCATTCTCCTGTATGTACTATGCTGTATTATTCAGGAGTTAATTTAAGCAAAAAAAGCATAACATAACATGGCAGAAGATATTTGCAGACTAGAACTAGGTTAAATAGAGTAGCAAGGTTTCAATGAGACAAAACTCCAAGTGAATAAATGACAAAACCTAATTAGTTTTTTACCAGTAATCGGGAGAAGCTATGTTAAGACCACAACCCATTTATGTTGCTCTGTAGCACACAATCTATTGTAGCTCCTCTCCCTTCCCTGCCTAATTCTGTGTACAGAGACAGTGCAAATGCATAGCTCTTTATTGTATGCATGTGCTTACTTGTACACACACAGAAGAAATATGTAAGTTATTAAAAAAAAAATCCACAAAAAAATGTTATGTTAAAATAAATTTAATGTTCTAAATATAGGCTCTCCCAGCTGAAATAGCCCCATGGTACCTACCAACTGCATTCCTGCTGTCGTTCTCTCTTCCTATCCAAAGTTATTATTTATTAATTAACATAATTACAAAGATCTCAACATAGGAAGGAAATGCTAGTTCTGAACTCCATATGCTATGATACATGACAATGCAGTTATCAACTCAGGCTCGGTTGAAACAGAGGTAATTGTCCTATAACATGTTTAACAAATATAAAATCCTGTCTCTCCACAACTAAAAGAAACACGAGAAAAGAATTACAGAAGAAGCAATTATTATGCTATTCTTTAAAAACGTGAATTCATCTACACACGCCTTTTACTCTCTCTGTTATGTATCAGCTCCTAAATGTTTGATGGTTTGATGGCTACAGCCAGAACACCAAGGGGGTCAGATTCTACAGCCTTTTGTCCTGTGGGCTCCAAAAAACAGGTACATTGCATATAATAGAAATCACTTCTGTATTAGGCTGACCAAAACAAGGGGTGCTAGGTGCAAATCTTTAGAACAGTAAAGCACTAACTGACAATCTAAATCTTTGCAAGTCATTTCTACAGCTCTCCTGCATCCAAACACTGAAAGTGAATTACAAATCCTGGGCTACAGTAGGTAGCTCCTGTTTCTTTTACTCTCTGCATTCTCTCTTGGATGCCCATTACATCATTTTTTGCTACTGCAAGGGACTCAACCTCACAGCCAATATGTAAGTGTAAAGATAAAGGATAAATGGGAAGGCAAGGTGCCACAATTATATAAAACTCAGAGACAATCATCAATCTGAAGATGGAGCTACCAGATCACTGAACTCACCATCACTTCTCGTGATTTGGGGGTTCTAAGTAGCCACCTGGTTTTTGCATTTCAATTCATAATGACTGCAGAGGTCAGCCAAAAAAGAAATATAACATTCAGTGGCAGGAGTAAGTTCAGAAGTGTTACATTTAAAATGATCTCTGGAGATATCTCTGGAGATAACCAAAGACAAACAGCTTCCACAGCTGCTGGCCTTGCTTCCCTCCTCTTGGGCAACGATGCCGTCCCTCTCTGCAGGAGAAGCTCATCCAGAAAGTCCCTCCATGAGATAACAGACTCAGTGTCCAATTCAGAGCAAGGAGCCAAGTGCTCAGAAAAGTTAAGAAATTCAGAATTACATTTTGTCAAAGTCAGGACATTCCTCCGTTCCCTGCAGCACAAAGTGGAAGTTCAGAAATCAGTTCTGCTGGTTTTTTTGTTTTTTTTTTGTAGACATTCAACTTATCTCTTTAGAAATAGAGCTGGGTACTGTTTTCTATACTTCTATCTCGAACATTTCATACGTTTTAAAAAAAAAAGGACAGTAGTAATGGTTCATCTTTTGCACTGAAACACTTTTGCTGAACACTGAAAAGGAATAATAGTGCATATATTATAGGAGTCCTCTCTGTAGCCCAGTCTGGATCTAACTTTGAGAATCCCTGGGTTTTCTTTGCATTACGCGTGTGATATAATGTTAAAACTCAACAAGAGCCATAATTAAACACAATTGTTACTACTACTGTATTCATGGCTACCTCTACTTCTATTCTGTACCTAAGGCATCAATGACTGGAAGGATAACTTTGAAAAGATGTGTAGCATGGTGATCATGCTTACACATCAGGAATTGGGAAGAACATTGACAGTGTTTTGAATATGTTAACTACCTTTTGTTCTAGGATAATCTGTGCTTGTGGAAAGTGCCCTGAAAACGACTTGTTTTGTACAAACTTCTCTGCCAACACAACCACACAAACTGTTATCACGAGTAAGAGACATAAGGCTATGATCTAAATGTCCCTAACTCCAACAGCGTTACAGCAATCTACAGAAAAGAATCTTTGCTTCTTACCCAGAGTCTAAACATTACTATTAACTGCCTTGAAGACCCATAGTATTTTATATGAAAGGAAATAAAATAAACTTTTAAAAGTAGTAAGACTTTTTTTTTTAAGTAAATTTTTGTGATTACAGTTAAGATGAACATTTTGGAAAAAAAAAAAAACACCAGCCAGCCAAGTTGTAGAAGCTATTAAAAATGCTTTCCAGGGTAAAGTGTGTTGCCAAGAACAATATTAAAATACAGCATGAAGTGAGATACAAAAAAAAAAAAAAAAAAACAACTATCAAAACATGCCAAAAAATTATCAGGCTAAACTATTCAAAAGGAAATTTCTCATGTGCAATGCTTTTTTCATACAGTATGCGTAGAAAGAATTTGAAGCTTGTTGCAGTGATGAATGAGAAATGCACCCAGGGCTCTCTAATGGCATACAAACAAAGCTTGATATTTTATTTTCTGGAGACAGGTAAATACTGATAAACTACTTCAATGAGCACTTCATCAGAATTTTACCAGCTTGTAAGTGACATCACCATCTCTTATATTTTCATTTATTAACAGTTGATCTGCTCATTCATGATATATGCAAAATGGAAAACTGGATTTAACTAGCTAGCTCAAACTTTGGGCTTGGATGGCCTTTTCAAATGGATCCCCATCACACTGCTTGCTAAAAACTGCCCTGTTGTTTAGTTAAGTCTTCAAACCTTCTTATTTCTCAGAATTCTCGAAGACTACTTTGTGTACTACACAGGATGCTAAACTTACAAATTTACAGATTACTACAAGATGTAAAAATCACTTCATGTAAAAATCAGAACTAATTCTGAAAGCAACCTGACCTATATTCCTAATTTTTTCCTCCTCCTTTGAGAATGATGTCATTTCACAGAACAAGACATTTTATCAGCTTGACTTGGCTAAGAGAAATATGTGACACAGTTTTATAATCACAAACACTTTCCTGATTTTGGTGGGGATCCAACTTTGCAATCCTTATTCAGGACAACAGAATTAGGTCCTCAGTGTCTAAACAATGAGGATCTAGAGCCCAAAAATGCTGCAATAAGCAATTACAAGTTCTAGACAAGGGTGAACTGGAAAAACAGAGCAGGGGGGCATGGGTGGAATGTTACTTCATTTCATTAAGATAATGCAGTGGGAAAGGTGAATAAGTGAAAGAGTGCATGTGCATGAGAGAAAGAGCTCAGCAAACATCCTTCTTAAATTAGATGGATCCTCGGTTCCACGTTACCTTGCTTGCCCTTCAGGACAAGTAGAGAGACAAGGGAGGTAAATTCTGCCTTTTTTTTTCTTTTTCTTTTTTTTAAAGGAACTGATTTTTC